AGAAGAATCGCGTTTGTATTTTGAGCGACAGCCAATATTTAACTCCGGCAATGGCGATCCGTGCAACCAGGACAGCTACGACCCGAGGGGACTACCGAAGACAAGTCTCGTGTTCCCTGACGTAAAGTGAAGGTCGAGGATAACCGCGGTGGCTCTCGCGAAGTCGGACCTACGAGGCCCTACATGGCGCTTTCTCCTGTAGGGAGACTTTGACAGCGATCGTGATTCTGGGAAGCCGATCGGAAGCATTCTATCGATGCACTGTACGCAACGTTAAACGCCCGTAACTGGATTTAGCTTATTTCGCTGAATCGTGAACGACCACTTTCGAATAATAAGTAGTAGACACTCTGATTTATATGGTTTGTATAATTGAAATAAGAATACTAAATATAACGTTAAATATTATACAATTTCTCTTATTCTTTGTTCGATAAATATTGTATGAAAATGCACCTACGTTTGAGAAGAAAACAAGAACAATGTAATAGAACATTATATTGAATAATGGAAACAAGGAAAATATTGTTCAATCTTTTCCCTCGCGATTCATTTAAGAATTCTGATTCAATACTTCATACGAAACAGTTGAATTACTTATTAAATACTTAAAGTATTAATAATCTACTATATAAATAAAGCATCCTTTTTCTTTTCGCATCACAACGTAATTACAATTTTTGACTATTCTTGCCTCGTATTTCCTATAAAAATTGATTTCTACGCTAACAGCGAACATCCCCTAACAAGTCAGAACCAAACACCCCGCCGAAATGATTGTCCGACAGCCAGGAACCGTTTCGGTTCAAGGTGTATTCAGTCGGCGGCTCGATTAATCATCGAGAATCGCGAAACCCGGTGTCCAGGTTTACATTGTGTCAGCCGGGGACGAACATTAATCCCATTAGCGGACCGGCGACAAAGAGTGGCGTTCGTCCGCGGCATCCGCCATTACCGCGGCATTATATCATGACGGATTCGTTCCGCGGGATCGCCGCTGTCACCGAATCGCAACACGGTGCGCCGGGGATACCGGTTAACGAACAGGCATCAGCCAGCCGGAAGATAATGTATTCCCCGTGAAAAAGCCGCTGATTGCCGACGCTATTGTGCGGCAAGCGATGCACTTTGCGTCCAGGCAACGCGACGCGACGCGACGCGGAACGTCGGTTCATCATTTCCGATACGTCAGCAGTTGGATCCCGGGACCGTTTCCACAGTACCCTTTCCTTTCTCGTTTTTCCCTTCGACGAATGACGAGCCTTGTAAGCGCAGTGTACATGACTGATTGGGGAACTGCTTCCTCGGACGGCTGACGGAGTTTTCTCTGTCTCCCGCAGATAAATATTGTGAAACCCTACGTCAAACCTCGCGGAATTGTCTAGCGTCACGGTTGACAGGAATAAGTCGGGAACGAGGAGAATTGGACGCGATGAAATTATAGCTAGTCGAGATTGATTAAGTGTTTGGAGAGTTGATAGGGTGAGGCACAAAATTTGAGGCATTTTTGTTGGAGAATGGGATCTGGTTTCTTAAGTTCGATATTTTTGTAGACACAATGTCACTCCTTGATTTTGTCGATTTGTGGATAAAATTTGGAATTATAGTTTTCTATCGGTTTTGTCGAGATGATTGAGAATTAAGGACGTGAACAGGGGTTCTTAGAATATGGAATGAAAAATTGTTTAAAATTCCAACTTTCAAAATTGAATCGTCAGCAATTTCGAAATATCTTCAATGCTTCAACTTTCTAAACTGCAATTTGCAACTTTCAACAATTCGGGAACGTGGGATCTACAATCTATTAGCAATATTCAAGCGAAACATCCGACGATCACACGTTAAATCTGAGGATATTTATTAAACACCCCCCAAAAAGACGCCTAACAAATTTAATTCGGTTTTAATAAAAATTTAAGTGGCATCTATCGGCTCAGATAATTACGCAAACCGCGTCTGGTCGGCGAAAAAGCGAGCAACGCGTAGGCCGCGAAAATAATTGAACGATCCGGCTGGGCAGCGAGTTTCCGAGTCGCGCAATAAATAAATATCGTTGTATTATACGAAGACGGTAGTCGACGAAGCAATTTCGCAAAGAGGAAGAAAAAATCACCGGGGACCCTCTTAATTAGAAGCGGCCGACGAACAACCGAGCCCGATTCGCCGAGATAAGGCCGAGTCGGAAATTTCGGCGTCTAAGTGGCCGCCTATTCGCTACCGACAGCTTCCGAGGGCTCCTAATTGTCAAGATCGAGAGCCGTAATTACACGCTTCGACATTCGTTCCTTCGGCTCACTTAAGACACCCTAAACTCCCGGGAATTCGTTTTTATGGCGTGGCCGGCCGAACGTATCGCCCGGCTCCTCTCGCTTGTCGGAAACTTTCGAGGTGACACTGATAAGCGGACGATAACGGAGGTGTTCGCGGGAAAAGCCGTCATCCGGAAGGCGATTAAGGCGAATCACTGCTCCCAGACATGAAACAAGAAATGGTTCTTCAACGGCTCGACGACGACAACGTCGGACAGTCTGTTAAAGGCTGGAGCCGGATCATTTGCGATCTATGATGAATTTATTGTCTATACATCAGGCACTAACCTGTGCTGCAATATTGCAACTTGATAGCTCCAAGTTTATTTTGTAATAAATGCTTTTTAAATACTATTAATTAATTGATGACTAAGCGTCTGTTAATGATTAATCTATTAGCTTGCAGTTTCTCTTTGATTACGTCGGAGGTATTAGCGAGTGAATTAGATGTATTAATAGTGAAGTAATGAAATGGATAGCGGAGATGAGTGAAACCAACGGAACGAAGATTTTTATGGAGAATGATGGAATTGTTTTTTTCTCTGGTTTTTTAAGGAGTAATAGAGTTAGTGATATTTTGAAACTTTGAATTGATGTAAATGTTTAATACTATAATGATTATTATGCTGCTAATATGAAATTTGATGATACACACAGTACCATCGTTTTCCTATCTGCTGTTCGCCAGTAATTTAATTGTAAAAGTTGAATTATTGAAATAAATAAATTTTGTAAGACACTTAAATCTCAAACTTGTACTTTGTGAATAAATGATGAAACAATTGGAACTTAAGGAATAATAACAAGTAAGCGTTCAACACAAAACACATTGTAATGAAGAGATATAACTCGCGATCGTTTTCCAATTTGTCACTGTCAAAACGTTCAATACCGTGAACAAAATTCCAACAGTTGTACTTTATCAAACGAAAATAATTTCTTGGTATCGATGATCTATACACGACAAGAAACGTCGTCGTATAAACTTCTGTTACCGAACGTTTAGATATTAAACATGATATCCTCGCGTTACTCCAAAAATTTCGACTCAATGACAAGCAATATTCCGCCAATTACACAGAGATCAATTGAAAAGTACTCGCGTTATATAATCGGCGAAGTAATCGTGAAACGAAATTCTCGATCCCTTATCGCCGACGACGTTCATTTATCCGTAGATCGCTCCGTATCGTCGAACGTCAACATTTTGACCGAACGCTGAGTACGAACTCCAGCGGCGGACGACAATAGATGGTCGCACGTGTGTTTCGTAATTTTACGTGTGCTGTTCCCGTGAATGGCATCCAATTACATGAAGCTCGATATAATTTCGTCGGCTATCGAAACAGGTATCGTCGATAGAGCAAACGCCTCGCAAATACTGATTCGTAAACGTCAAACAAGACACGATAATGATCGTATCATTTGCTCTATTTTGAAACAGCCGCCCGATCTAGACAGATTCTGTCACTGATATAATAGATTTTAAAATATTTGGAAGTAAATTGAACACGTCCAGAGCAAATTAATTTTTCCGAATCGATACGAAAGAACATAAATCGATTTCAAACGCTTTGAAGGCTTTATGGACACAAGCATAAAGGCTGTGTCCTATTTTTTAACGCAGAAATTTATTTTCTGTCCGACGCGTTGAGAAGTATCTATTATCGGTAATGAAAAGGTGTAATAACGTGTAATTTGGCGTGAACTGAATTTTACAAGATTTGTTGTCTCGTAGATCATCGAAGTTTAAACATTGCAGTGGAAAAATCGAATGAACTGCGTGTAGTAGAGGCGTGTTTCTTAGATAGCGAGCAGCCTGCCTGAGACACTATCAGAAATAAACGTCAGTCACTGTTAGAGTGAAATGTGTTTTACACGCGGAAAATTGTGGAGCATACAATTTACAACGATCGCGACTGTCATTTGGTTGACTTACCAAGTACCGTGTCTAACAATTATTTAGTGAATGGATACTATTGTTCTCAATGAAACGCCGGAATGAATGGCGACGATATACGAGCGAAACCTAACTTAAAGTAAACACTTCGGACACATTGTTCACTTGACACTACATAATATTTCTCATGCGGAGTTCATTGTTTCAAATTCGCTCTCGTTTGAACGAAAACCCATTTCATTAATTTTCTTATCTATCAATGAACGTCACTTGAAAACGCTAAATTCATTCATCTTGATTCTTTTAATCACGTAATGATACAGTATTATTTTCATGGGATACTAAACATTTTACGATAAACAATTAATAAATATATTAATAATCCTCTTTGGTGAGCAGTTCTTTGCTAACCAATAGCGTCAATCTCATAAATAAGATCGATCCAATAAACGCGATTTCATTATCGATTCCTGCCATACCTCTAAAAAGATAAGATTCTTTAATACAACAATTTCTCGATGGTATACATGTTCACACAGGCTGCAAATATTCTGCATTCAACCAAAAGAATCTTGATACTGAACCCTGCTCAACGTTGTCAATCTCAAGCACAACTGCCAACCAAAGAAACGTCAATCTAACATCTCCAAACCTTCAGATCCAACCAAGCAACGTAACCTCGCGTTATCCTAACAAAACCGAAGGCTTCTCAAGAAGAAGTACACCTCCTAATCAAACATTATCCGCAATCTCTCCAAACAATCCCCTGAAAACCTGATCATCGGACTCACCAGTATAACACCAGGCCGGCCAGACAACAGGGCTTTCGGTGTCCAGCTCCCTCATTCTCTCAGCGACCCGCGGACATCTCCACTCCGTACGTCCCGACGTGGCGGTAAGTATGTCCAGTTTGATCTTCGATAGAAGCTTCCGTCCAAACGAAGAACGTCACCGATCGACGTCCCCTCGAGCAAAAGCGAGAACCACAACAGTAGTCTCTCTGAATAATCCCTTTCTTTCGTCCTTCCGCGCAAACGGTCCGTCACTTTACGGGGAAACCACCTGTCGAACGTCGGGTATCAGGTCGAGCCGCGCGCGCAGCGAGGAGGTCGGTCAAAGATCATGCCTTCGGCCGAGACGATCGACGAGACTCGGGGCCGAGGTGCAAGAAATCCGCTGTGCCCCTTTTATCGGACGGTTGCACGTGCGCGACGCGATTCCAGGAGACAGATAACCGTAGATAAGCGGTCTGCGCCGGCGATAAGGCACGGCAGATCCGTCATCGACTCGGTCCCCTGCCCTTGTGACTTTCTCCGGGACGACCTCCGCTTCTGCCTCTCTTCCTCGCTGTCCTCTCCGCCTCTTTCTCCACGCGTGTTACACGAAACGATGTTTCGCACTCGCCTCAGAATCGCGCACTAAATGTCACGGAAATGTCAATGAGGAGTCGCGGACGTTTGACACCTTCACTGTCCCCTTCCTCCGCTGTCCCCAAGCCAGGCCGACCCGGGGAACCAGTCTTCCTTCTCGGCCGGCGTTCGAACCGTATGTTCTTGCGCACTATCCGCCGATATCACTGACAACACTCGCGTAAACTCCGATCCGATCGAATATTCCCTTCTGCCGATCGCGATCGCCGGATCAAGGTGGACGTCGCCGGACACCTGGCTCTGCCGAAGCTTCAGCGCCCGGTGGAAGCAAACGATCCGCGGGGGCCGAGAATCGAATTGGCTGTTCTAGCTCGATCGGTCGTTGATCACACGGCAGCCTGGACCAGCGGCCAGAGAATCATTCTTCCGTCGTTCCTCGGCGTATATTCGTTTAATCTCGCGGCGGGCCAGCAACGGCGGGAACGCGACACGCCGAGAGGCGACACCGGATCGAGTGCGGGGGGAGGACACGCGACGGTACACCAGGCGACGGTTCACCAGGCGACGACCCGGTAGCGACGGAATCGTGATAGGATAACCGCGATCGATCGTTCGCCTCCACGTTCCGGGAGGATCGTTGACGTAGCGCAGGATGACACGACACTACAAACACGGCACTGGGCTGCGTGAGGCGACGTCCGAAGGGGACAGAGACAGAGGGAG